TACCCCCCAGCTGATTAACTGAGGGCCACTCCACCCACCACATCTTGTGGGTTTTGGTGCTGCTGCTGCCAGAAGAAATCCACGAAGCCCAGGAAACGAATCCACAACTGCAAAAATAACTCCCCTGCAATCCCACTATCAGCTACAAATGAACCAGTATTAATAAAGCTGTAAAGAAATTAAAATGATAATATGAAAGGAGAGGAATAAACTATTAGTATAAAGTATAATTACTTAATACGCACAAACTTGATGGACCCAAAATGGATGTTAAAAACTTATGTAGCAAAGAAAATATCGCAAATCATGGAGAAGACCACAGTGTATTTTGTCTCAGTAGCCTCCAATATTTAGCGCTTTTTATTCTTTCTGGATTGCCTCTGATATCAGATGTTGATCCCATCTGACCTTAAGCAGTCTGTTCGAGACTTCCAGGAATCTACTGCCTGTGGCTGTCTCCATCAGTTGTTAATCTAGACACTCTGCACTCAGCAGTCAGGCTTAGACACCTCAGGGCCAGGGGAGTCCCTCCTGGGTGTGGGGCTATTGTTTCCTCTCAGGCTGCCGCCACTTAGGGAAGTGGTCGGCCTAAGCAAGATGGCTGCTGCCATATGGGGAATGACTTAGCACCAGGACCCCACTGGCTACTCTCTCAGTTCTCTCCCTTATGCCTCCGTCTCCATTCTCTCCTCAAGTGTCTCTAGTCCACTCTGCACACCCTTTAGCCAGGGGTCTAGTATCTGTGGCTGCCACTCTGTACTCAACAGTCCGGCTTAAGCACCACTGGGCTAGGGCAGTTTCCCTCCTGTGGGCAGGACTATTGTTTCCTCTCACGCTGCTGCTGCTCAGGGGAGTGGTCTGTCTGAGCAAGATGGCTGCTGCCATATGGGAGATGAGTCAGCACTGGAATCCCGCTGTCTACTTTCTCAGTTCTCTCCCCAAAGCCTCCTTCCCCAGTCTCTCCTCAGGCATCTCTAGCCCACTCTGCCCCGGCCTTTTCCATAGACCAGGGTAAGTGGCTACAAACAAACATCTATGCGTTGGCCCTTTAAATGGCTCTTTGCATCTCCAGCTGCCTGTCTCTGGCAGAGAGCAACCCTGCCACTTTTCATAGATGGCTGTTATCTATGTACTTTTTGGGCTCTGGTTCTGTAGGTTGTGGGTCCCTGCTTATGTTTTAGACCCCACTCTTTTCATGGGGATCCAGCTGGCTGTTTAAATATCCCTCTGGAGCTGCCCTCCATGAGCACATAGTCAGTCGTCTCAAGTCTCCACCGCACACCATACCAGTCAGGTTCTGCTAAAGCTGATTCTTTTGTTTGTCTGAGGTTATTAGGCTTGTCTCTTGCTATTGTTCAGTTGTGTGTTCTAGGCGGAGAAATTTCTACACAATTTAGTTGTAATTCTCTATTGGCCTCTGAAGGGGTCAGTGTGACTTCCATTCATTTCTCCGCCATCTTGAAACTCTCCCCTTTATTAAATATTAATTGACCATAGAGACATGGGTTTATTTCTGGCCTTTCTGTTCTGTTCCATCAATCTATGTGTCTGATCTTATGCCAGACTGTTTTAATTACAGTGGTCTTATAGTTTGATATCAGATATTGTGATACCTCCAATTTTATTCTTCTTTCTCAATACTGATTAGTCTATTTGGGGTCTTTTGTGGTTCCATATAAATTTTTGAAATATTTGTTCTACATCTATGAAATATTCCATTGGTTTTTTAAAAGGAATTGCATTGAATCCATAGACTACTTTGGGTAGTATAGACATTTTAATGATATTAATTCTTCCAATCCATGAACATGGTATATGCTTCTCTTTATTCATATCTTCTTCAATTTATATAGTGTTCTATAGTTTTTCCAAGTACATATATTTTACATACTTGGTTAAATTTATTCCTAGGTACTTTCTTTTTCTCGTTGCTATAGTAAATGGGATGTTTTTTCCTAGTGTCTTTTCTAAAATTTCATTATAGGTTTACAAAACTGCAATCAATTCCTGAATATTGGCTTTGTATCCTACTGCTTTGTCAAATTCACTTTTTAGGTCAAGATTTTTTTGGTGGAGCCTATACATTTTCTACGTACACTATCATGACGTTGAGAATAATGACAGTTTTACTTCCTCCTTTCCAATTTGGATGACCTTTATTTCTCTTTCTTGTCTGATCACTGTGGCTTGAGTTTCCAGGTCTATGGTGAAAAAGAGTGGTGAAAGTAGACACCCTGGTCTTGTTCCTGATCTTAAGGGGAAAGCTTTGAGTTTTTGCCTGTTGAATATGATGTTGGCTGTAGGTCTCTCATGTGTGGCCTTTATTATGTTGAGATATGCTCCCTCTATTCCCATTTTGCTGTTTTTTATCATAAATGGGTTATGGATTTTATCAAATGCTTTTTCAGCATCTATTGGTATAATCATGTGATCACTGTCCTTCATTTTGTTTATGTGGCACATTATGTTTATTATTTTGCAACTATTGTACCATCCTTGCATCCCTGGGATGAGTCCCACTTGATCAAAGTATATGGTCTTTTTAATGTATTGCTGGATCTGGATTGCCAATATTTTGTTGAGGATTTTAACATCTGTTTTCATCAGAGATAGTGGCCTATAGTTTTCTTTCCTTGTTGTGTCTTTATCTGGTTTTGGAATTAGGGTACTACTGGCCTCATAAAACAGTTTGGGAGTCTTTCCTTTTCTTGAATTTTTTCGAATAGTTTGAGAAGGACAGGAGTTAGTTCTTCTTTGAATGTTTTGGTAAAATTTGCCCACAAAGTTACCAGTCTAGGGCTTTCCTGTGCTTGTAGATTTTTGATTACTGCTTCAGTTTCCCTAGTTGTTATCTTTACTCTCAGGTTTTCTGCTTCTATGTGATTCAGTTTTGCAAGATTGTATGTTTCTTGAAATATTGATTTTTTTTCCAGGATGTCCAATTTCTTAGCAAACATACAGTTGTTCATAGTAATTTCTGACAATCCTTTTTATTTCTGTGGTATCAGTTGTAATTTCTCCTCTTTCGTTTCTGAATTTATTTGTATGGGTACTATCTCTTCTTTTCTTCATGAGTCTGGTTAAAGGTTTGTCAATTTTGTTTATCTTTTCAAAAAACTAGCTCCTGGATTCATTGACCCTTTGATTTTTTTTTAATCTATGTAATTTAATTCTGCTCTGATCTTGATTATTTCCTTCCTTCTACTAGCTCTGGGCTTTGTTGTTCCTGGAGTTCTTGTGGATGTAGGGTTAGGTTGTTATTTGAGATTTTTATATCTTGTTTAGGCAGGCCTCTATTGCTATAAACTTCCCTCTCTAAACTACCTTCACTGTGTCCCATTGGTTTTGAGTTTTTGTGTTTTCATTTTTTATTAGCCTCCACATATTTTTTATTTCTTCCTTGATCTCATTGTTAACCCATGCATTATTTAATAACATGTTATTCAGTCTCCATGTATTGGAAAGTTTTTGAGTTTTTTCCTTGACATTGGTTTCCAGTTTCAAGCTACTGTGATCTGAGAAGATGCTTGTTATGATTTTGATATTCTTGAATTTGTTGAGTCTTGTTTTGTGTCCTACTATGTAGTTTATGATTGAAAATGATAGACTACATTTGGAAAGAATGTATATTTTGCTTCTTTGGGTGAAATGTTCTGTAAATGCCAAGTCTATTAGATCTATTGTGTTGTTCAATATCCTTGTTGGTTCTTCGTTTGGAAGACCTATCCATTGTTGATCATGGGATCTTAAAATAGCCTACGACGACTGTATTGCTACTCATCTCTTTCTTGAAGTCCTCTGAGATATTCCTTATATATTTAGGTTCTTCTATGTTGTGTGCATATAAATTTACAATGGTTATATCCCCTGTTGGACTACTCCCTTAAATATTTTTTAGTAACCTTCTTTGTCTCTTGTTATGGTCTTTGATTTGATGTCTATTTTGACTGATAGAAGTATTGCTACCAAGCTTTTATTTTCATGTCCATTTTGTGGAATATTTTTTTCTGTCCCTTCACTTTTAGCCTATGTGGATCTTTTTTTCTGAGGTGGGTCTCTTGTAGACAACATTTATGCAGGTCATGTTTTCTTAGCCATTAGCTACCCTATCTCTTTTGATTGAAACATATAATCTATTTACATTTAGGTTATTACTGATAGGAATTCTTTCATTGCCATTTTTTCCCTTTGAACCTATTTCCTTTCTCCCCCTTTGTTTCTTCATCTTCTTAAAGCAGTCCCTTTAACATATTCTAACAATGCTGGTTTGATGGAGATATACTCTTTTAGCTTTTATTTCTCCTTTTTTTTTTTCTTTTTTTTTCTTTTGGTCTGGGAAGCTCCTTATTTGATCTTCCATTTTAAATGAGAGCCTTGCTGAGTAGAGTAGTCTTGGTTGCAAGCCTTTTCTTTTCATTACTTGGAATATTTCATGCCATTCCCTTCTGGCTTGTAGTGTTTCTGTTGAGAAATCAGCTGACAGCCCTATAGGAGCTCTCTTGTATGTGACTAGCCGTTTCTCCCTTGCTCCCTTTAAGATTCTCGCTTTGTCTTTAAATTTTGCCATTTCAATTATGATGTGTCTTGGGGTTGTTCTCTTTGGATCATTTTGATTGGGACCCTTTGGGCTTTCTGGACTTGGATGACTTTTCCCCTCACCAAGTTTGGGAAGTTTTCTGTCATGAGTTTTTCAAACAGGTTTTCTAGCCTTGCTCCTTTTCTGCTCCTTCTGGTAACCCTATGAAGTGAATATTATTACATTTCATGTGGTCTTGCAACTCCCTTAAACACTCTTTGTTCTTTCGGAGTTTTTTCAACGTGTTGCTCTAACTGAGTGTTTGTTTCTGGGTTTTTTTTTAACTTGTCTTCAGCTCGCTGATTTGATGCTCTGTTTCATCTACCCTGTTTCGATTCCTTCTAGTGTATTCTTCATTTCAGATAATTTATTCTTCATTTCCTCCTGGCTCTTATTCATAGTTTCTTTCTTTTCTCTCTTTTGCCAGGGGAGAGCATTAACACAGTCCCCCACTACCACAAATTGTGCAGTTGGATTTCCCACATTTGGAGAAATTGCAGGGGTGAGCACATCCAGAGTACAATGGATAAACCTTGCCCTGGGAAAACCACCTTTGTGATCATGGTATCTCCCCTGCCAGCTAAGCATTCATAGTTTCTATGTCCTTTTTCATGCTGATTCCTTGGAGCTCCCACAGAGTTCCTTGTAGTTCTCATTGAGTTCCTTAAGCATCTTTATAACCATTACTTTGAATTCTGTGTCTGAGGCAAGAATAACTTGCCTCAATGTTATTTAGCACTCTTCCTGGGGTTTCTCCTTTCCTTTCCTTTTGTTTGGGTATTGTTTCTTTGTCTCCCCATTTTAGGTAACTCTTCTTGTTTGTTTCTGTGTATTAGATTGATCTGCTTTGACTCCTTGTCTTCATGGGGTGGCTTTATGTGGTAGGAAAACTGTGTAACTCAGTGATGCCGTCTCATTGATCTCCTGAGCTGGATGCTCTTTTGAAGCCCTTTATGCCATTTTTGTGGGCTTTCTTGAAATTGGGTTTTGGTTGTTGTTGGGTTGCTCTTGGTGGGTTCTTCCCTCCAGCTGGCTGACCTAGAGTCACACTGCCCACACGTCTTATATGCTGTTGTAGTGGTGCTGCCAGAACAAAACAAAACAACCCAGGAAACAAAACCCACACCCACAAAAACACCCCCCAACCACGACCACACTATCAACAGCAAATTAACAAATATTAATAAAGGTGAAAAGAGACTAAGACTATTATAAAAAAGGAAAAATGAATGTAAGATGACTAACGAAAAGAAATTTTGAGAGGGTTGAGTGAGGAAATAATAAGAGTAAGGAATAGAAACAAGGTGAAGAAAGAAAGAAAACTTACAATGTAAATAAAAAAGAGAGGGAAGAGGAAAAATGGAGTAAGAAAAGGGAAGAGTATAATATGAGGTTTAAAAAATTTATAAAAGTGATTAACAAAATTGAAGAAAAACAACCACCACTGCAATATCAATGACAAATGAGCAAAGATTAATAAATGTGGAAAGAGAATAACAAGGGAAAAAAAGAGAAAAGATTATGAGATGTCTAAAGGATAGAAAGGTGATTTTGAGGGGACAGAGGGAGAAGAAATAATAAGAGTAAGGAATAAAAACCAAAATAAGAGAGAGAAAAAATAAAATTTAAAATGAAAAAAAAAGAGCGAACAAGAGGAAGGCAAAATGGAGTAGGAGAGGGGAACAGTAAAATTTGAGATTTGAAATACAAAAATAGTGAACATCTAGGCATCAAATGGAAGAAATGCAACAACAACCACCATATCAACAAAAAACAAGTGAAGATCAATAAAGGTGGAGAGAGAATAAGGATATTATAACAAAGGGAAAAAGAGTATGAGATGACTAGTGCAAGAAAAGTGGTTGTAAAAAGCTGGAGGGAATAGTAATAGTAATAATAGTAATAGAAATATTGCAGAATAGAAACAAGGTGTAGAAAGGGAAAAAATAAAATTTAAAACAAAAATAAGAGGATGGAGGAAGAAGGCAAATTGGAGTAAGAGAAGAAAGGAGTAAAATATGAGATTTTAAATAAACCTAAAATTTTTTCAAAATAGTGAAATAGGAACAAACTTGAAGAAAAAGAAAAAAATGTTAAAAAGCTAAGCTGGAGAAAAAATAATGCAAATAATGAAGAACAGGGTGTAAAATGCCTCAGCAGAGTCTGGTATTTGCCACTGTCTGCCCTTTCTGGATCCACCATAGTAATGTCAGGTGGTGTCCCAGTCTAGCCCTGGGCAGCCTGTTTGAGGCTACAAGTGATCCACACAGACAGTCTGTGGCTGTCTCCTTTAGACCTGGCTGGTCTTCCCTCTTCTGCCCTGCCAGTTTTTCATCAGCATAGGCCCAAGAGTGGTTCATCTAATGTTCCAGAGCACTCTAAGTACCACCTCCACCTGCCTCCAGAGGGGAACTCTGTTGAGATCAGGAGGATGGATTCCCTGGTTCGTCCCAGGAGGCACTATTCAGTCTTCAAAGAACATGATGGGAGCATTTCCCCAACCCTCACTCCCGCCACATGTCTTGGTCTGTCCCAGTTTTTTTTCAATAATGTATAGTTTCTGATGAATTAGCTGTCTATTTCCTGTGATGGGGGCCAATTTCCATAAAAGGGTCAGATATTTCCTGCTTGGCATCAATGGCAGCTCTGTATAAGGGCTGAGGCTGGGTAGGGCCCTGAATACTTCTTGCTACACCTGTCTCTAATCTCTCTGCTCTGCTGGTTTTAGTGGATCAGGGCCGAAAGAAACAGCACAGCTCATAGTGTCTGGTAGAATTTTGGAAAGGGCCCTCTTAGAGCTTCTCTTTCTTTCCCCTGCATATATGCACCAAGCAGGAGCCTCCTGAGCCAGGTCTCAATGATCTTCAGAGCCTGCAATCAGGCAAGTGAGGGGTTGGGCACACCTGTCTATAAGGGAACCTACCTGGCTGCAATGAATCTCAGACATTCAGCTCCTGGCTGTCCAGTCCGCAGCCTGCCACTCTTGTAGGAGACTCAGACCTGAACTCCACTCTGCTCAGCCTCCTGCTCACCAGCCGCACTGGGTCAGGTCCCACAATCCCTTCAATGTGCCACCTTCTGTTCTTCCTGTGCAGCTGGACTCAGTGGGAATGAACTGTGCTTCCCTCTGGTTTCTTTGTTGGCAGAGCCACTGTGTGCATGAGCATGGGGTCCCTGCCCTGACAAGCTTCAGCTCCCCTTTTCAAAAAGTCTCTGTATGTCACCCACACTGCAGCACTGAGCAATGGGCCGGCTCTCCATGAACTCCACCCCGCCCCTAACAAAAAGCACAGTCTCCCTCTGTCAGGGCTGTACACAGCCTGCCAGTGCCGCCAACAGTTTTAGGAGATAGTTTCTCTCTGGAACTCTCCCAATTGGCGCTGCAGCTATGGACATGCTGTTCGCTGTGTGTGTGCAGCCTAAGTCTCTGAGACTTTGTATATCCTTCCAAGTCTCACCCAATTAGGGTTTAGGATTTTCCATGTGTGGGACCGGGGCCCTGCTCTGGGAGGAGAGGGAGCCACTAAACTGTGTTTTCTATCCAATCTCTCCTCTGCCACAGGCACCCTGCAAAGGGCATTTCCTCTTCAATTTGTAAAATCTCTTACCAGATGGTGCAAAGCATCCTCTATAATCCTTGGCTCCAAAATTCCTATCAACTGAGATTCCACTGATTGTTCAGGTCACTTGTCAGAAGATCAGCAAAAAATCTGTGCTAGGTGCACAAACAAGTGGGCTTAGCTTTCACCTACTTGGCCACCATCTTTTCTCTTAAGTTGCAAAGAGTGCATTTACAAAGTCATGGCACATGGGCTGGCACACAGGCCACTCAACTAGCATTAAAAATTAGTAGGTCATAGCAATGACCTTCAATAAAAAGTAATATGTGCTCTTAGGAAATTATTCGAATATAAATTATACCCTTTTCTTTTTATATAGCCTTTTCTCTTTAAGGGTAAAGTAGAATGAATGCGCCCTGTGTTTTGTGAATAGCACAGATGATAGAAGATTGATGATGATAGATAGATAGATAGATAGATAGATAGATAGATAGATAGATAGATAGATAGATGATAGATAGATAGATAGATAGATAGATAGATAGATAGATAGATAGATAGATAATAGATTGATAGATAGCTAATAGACACATAGGCAGAAAGATGATTGATAGAGATGATAGATAGGTAGAAATAGATATAGATGATAGGCAGGTAGGTAGACAGACAGATGGATAGATAGGTAGGTAGAGAAAGAGAGAGACATGGAGAGAGAGATGGAAAGAAATTTATACTGAAAGAGACAAACAGATTGGTAGATATAATAGATAAATATGGACAGACAGAAATAGATACAGATAATAAGATGATAGATACATAGATAGATGATGGATGATAGATTAAATAGATGATAGATTAGATAGATATAGATAGATAGATAGATAGATAGATAGATAGATAGATAGATAGATAGAATGAATCAGAAAACAGGCTAAAGAAACCACTGGAAGGAAATGAATCAAAACCATATAAGAATGTATGATATTTGTACATTCTAAAACTTCTGGTTTCTTTTACTTAATACCTCCCTAAGAGCTGCAACTATGGGATCTTTTAGTATTAAAACTCATCTTATCCAAAAGTCAATTAGAAATTAGGAGGTAGCCACAAACTATGCAATTAGCCCTTCACTTTGGAGATAGCATGAAGTTGTACAAGTGCTCGAGGAAGACAACAGCCTCCAAAAAGAGAGTTCATTTCAGGAACATGCAGTCATTCTGAATTGAGCATAAAACAATAAACTGTAACCTGCCCTAGGGACTCCCTGGTCTGCGATAGCAATACTATTCTGAATTTCAATTATGAGTCCCCTTTAGAAAGCATTTTCTGGGAAGACTTTGTTTTATACAGGGTAAAATTTCAGTTGTTTTGGCCTAATCCTTTCTCTGCCTCATTTGAACATTAACAGTAATCTAGTTAAGGAAAGAAGAAATCTGTATCATAAGAGACCAAACCATAGCCTTAGTACTAAGCTAGAAAGAAATACTGTTGGCCTAAAGACTGAATTAATGAACAATAAATTTATCAATTGCAAATTTCTATAAACTGTAAGCAGAACATAAAAGCTCTTAAGAGACATGCTAAAAGAAAGGAAGGGCAATTGTGAAAAAGAGGTGAACCTTCAGTACACAGGTGATATGTTATTCTCTTCCTTAAACTTCCCTCTTGTAACAGGGTACAGAGCATGGGTCCCCTTAAAATAATATTTGGGTCCCCCAAATTCTGCAAAAAAGCACAGTGGATAGGAGAAAGGATGCCCAAAAAGTGGAAAGTATAGTATTTAAGGCACATTGCATAACAAAGGCAGATTAACAGCCTGTGCCTTCCTGAAGGGAGGAACTGTGGAAGCTGCAAATTGTGTGCGTGACTGTGAAACCATGCACAGGCAAAGTAACTTATGACATAGTGGAGGCGGAGGCTGGGTTGGTTGCTCATACATCATAGAGTGCCTGTGTAAGCTGAGGGGGCCAGTGCCCACCCTAGATGGATGCGCATGGCTGGGAACTCTTGCCCTGACTAAAGATGGCA